ACCCCCTGGATCATTGTCCATGGAATGGGAGTCCTTGGAACACCCCATGGATCACTGTCCATGGAATGGGAGTTCCTGGAATACCCCGTGGATCATTGTCCATGGAATGGGAGTCCTTGGAACACCCTGTGGATCACTGTCCATGGAATTTGAGTCCTCAGAACAACCCATGGATCATTGTCCATGGGAACATATTCCCAAACACCCCCTGGATCACTGTCCATGGAATGTGAGTCCTTGGAACACCCCGTGGATCACTGTCCATGGGAACATATTCCCAAACACCCCCTGGATCACTGTCCATGGGAATGGGGGTCTCAGCACCCCATGGATCACTGTCCATGGCCCCATATTCCCAAACACCCCATGGATCACTGTCCCTGGAATGTGAGTCCTTGGAACACCCCCTGGATCACTGTCCATGGTATTTGAGTCCTCAGAACACCCTGTGGATCATTGTCCATGGCCACATATTCCCAAACACCCTCTGGATCACTGATCCATGGAAATGGGGGTCCCAGCACCCTGTGGATCATTGTCCATGGTCTCATATTCCCAAACACCCCCTGGATCACTGTCCATGGAATGTGAGTCCTTGGAACACCCTGTGGATCACTGTCCGTGGAATGTGAGTCCTTGGAACACCCCATGGATCACTGTCCATGGGAACATATTCCCAAACACCCCATGGATCACTGTCCATGGAATGTGAGTCCTTGGAACACCCCATGGATCACTGTCCATGGAATGGGAGTTCCTGGAACACCCCGTGGATCACTGTCCATGGTCTCATATTCCCAAACACCCCCTGGATCACTGTCCATGGGCTGTGAATCCTTGGAATACCCCGTGGATCACCGCCCATGCCCACACTGTCCCCCCACAGCCCCCTTTGGGACAATCCCTCGGGAATGACCGGGAATGCCGAGCCCCTTTTCCCACCCCTCTCCCTCCGCGGATCCCCCTCTGGAATCCCGCCCATCCCGCCGCCCCCAGCGCTTCCCGCCCCCGCTCCCGGTGGGTTTTTTTTTCCCGGGAATGCTGTGAAATCCAATCTCCCGCCGCGGCCGGGGGGAAATTCCCGCCCTCGCACATTTTTTTTCCCTGCCCGGTGTTATCCCGAGGCTGCTCCCGGAGTTTTCCGCGGACTCGGGAGGTTTTGGGAAGGGCCGGGAGGAGTTTTGGGGTGTCCGTGTCCCCCCTTCCCGGCACCGGGCGGATTTTGGGGTCCCCTTTTCGTCCCGTTCCCTGTCCCATCCCGGGATACCCCCAGCCCCCAAATCCCACCGGGACGATCCCAACCCTTTCCGGGGTGTGTGTGGGGGGGTGTCTCCCCCAATCTCTGGGATACCAGGACACCCAATCCCTGGGATATGGGGACCCCAATCCCTGGGACACGGAGACCCCCCAGTCCCTGGGATACCAGGACACCCAATTCCTGGGATATGGGGACCCCCAATCCCTGGGACACCAGGACCCCCAATCCCTGGGATACCAGGACACCCAATCCCTGGGATACAGGGACACCCAATCCCTGGGACACTGGGACCCCAAACCCTGGGATACGGAGACCCTCAATCCCTGGGACCCCAATCCCTGGGATACCAGGACCCCAATGCCTGGGATATCAGGACCCCCAATCTCTGGGATACAGGGACCCCAATCCCTGGGACATGGGGAAATCCCTGGGATACAGGGAACCCCAATCCCTGGGATACGGAGACCCCCAATCCCTGGGATATGGAGACCCCAATCCCTGGGATACGGAGACCCCCAATCCCTGGGATACGGAGACCCCCAATCCCTGGGATATGGGGACCCCCAATCCCTGGGATACCAGGACACCCAGTCCCTGGGATATGGAGACCCCAATCCCTGGGACACAGGGACCCCCAATCCCTGGGATATGGGGACCCCAAGCCCTGGGACATGGGGACATCTAATCCCTGGGACACGGAGACCCCCAATCTCTGGGATACAGAGACCCCAATCCCTGGGATACAGGGAAATCCCTGGGATACAGGGAATCCCAATCCCTGAGACACGGAGACCCCCAATCCCTGGGACACTGGGACCCCAATCCCTGGGACATAGGAACCCTAATCTCTGGGATACCAGGACCCCAATCCCTGGGATACCAGGACACCCAATTCCTGGGATATGGGGACCCTCAATCCCTAGGACACCAGGACACCCAATCCCTGGGATATGGAGACCCCAATCCCTGGGATACAGGGACACCCAATCCCTGGGATATGGAGACCCCCAATGCCTGGGATACCAGGACCCCCAATCCCTGGGATACGGGGACCCCCAATGCCTGGGCCACGGTGAAATCCCTGGGACATTCCCT